CAGGTGACACATATTCCTACCCAGGTCGAAAAGACTGGTGTGGTAAATGGGGCGATGACAGGTAGTCATGCATCCAATGGTCCTGCACAGAGCCAAGAGCCTGAGGCAGTTGATGGTGGGCTGACAGAAAGTCAAGCGCCACAACACTCCTGGTGCGGTTGGAAGGAGTGCGTTGGCTATTACAGCAACGACACCTTCTTCCAGGTCAAAGGTCGTGGTGACTCGAAGAACGAGCACCAGACGTATTAAGACGATCAAGGGCACGTCGAAACGAGTGACCCTTGGATCAGTCTCGGTCCAAGAGGACGGACCTACGAACGAGTTGTTCGAGGTCGTCGAAGACAAAATGCCGGAGGCATCCTCAGTTGAGATGCTTCAACTTGTCTTGTCATCTGCCGAGGAGATAGCAGATCTCACGGAGATGACGTGGGATATGTCCTGTCCGAACTAAAGGAAGGAAAGATCCACGAGATAGTCGCACCAGTTCCAGAAGAGAACGTGGTGGACTGTTACTATTCATCCACAATGGATGAGAGCGTCTTGGATACCGACAAAAAGAAACGGTTCGCTGCTCAAGGCTGGGATGCCTTGAAGGACAGTCCGTTCTATGATGTTCTGTGGAAACACCGTGATGTGTTTCCAGCAGAAGTGCCGAGCCGCCTACCGGCCGATAGGGGCATCAGGCACGAAATTGTCCTGGAATCTGGCACCAAGTATTGTGCGACCAGACAATGGCCGTTGCTGAAGGAACAAGTCGATTACATCGATGAGTTCTTCGGTAAGCGAGCTAAGGCGGGACATGTACGTGAGAGCAAGTCGCCTCAGTGCAGCCCGACCTTCTGTGTGCGTAAAGCAACAGGCGGATGGAGCGTGGTTCATGCTTACAATAAGCTGAGCACGGCCACCATTCCAGCTCAAACGCCGATTCCGCGGAAAGATGTCTTGTTGAATTCCATGGGAAATTCAACTATCTTTTCCGCGTTGGATCTGAAGGATGGATTTATCAGGTTCTCATGAGAGATAATGATGTAGACAAAACGGCAGTAAGCACCTCAAGCGGTATGCTGTGGTAGTGGCTTGTGATGCCATAAGGGTTGAAAAATGCTCCAGCAACATTCAACCGAGTGGTGGATCACGTGATGCGTCAGCACCGTGTCTACGCGCACCATTACTTTGACGATGTATTCGTGCATAGTAGGGCGGAGGACGATCTGAGCGCAATAGAGTCGCACAATCATCGTTTAGACGCTGTGTTGCAGACTCTAGGTGACTCCCAATAAATAAACGTTATACGTTAACTTTCAAAAGTGCGTCATAGGGGTCCCCGATATTCCTGTGCTGGGCTGCATCGTAGGTACACATGGTGTACGAGCAGACACAGAAAAGGTAAAGGCTATCAAGGAATGGCCAGTCCCACGACACGTGAAGGATCTGTGCCAATTCCTTGGGCTCTCTAATTACTCGCATAAGTACAGCAAGAATTATGCGGAGCAGACTAAGCCATTGTCTGACCTTTTAAAAAAGGATACAGAATGAACTTGGTCAAAGGAGCAAGAAGATGCGCTCACTTCAGTGAAGCAATCTCTTGTAGAGGCATCGGTCTTGGCATTGCCAGACGCGGATAAGCCCTTTAGCGTCGTCTGCGATGCAAGCAATGTTGCAATCGGCAGCGCGCTCATGCAGAAGAATGACAATGGCATTGACCGTGTCATTTCGTATCAGTCTCGGCTTTTGAAAGCCGCAGAGCTGAAATACTCTGCGCATGACAAGGAGCTACTTTCAATTAAGTATGCCCTTGTGAAGTTTCGGGTGCACCTCTTGAACACCGAACCTTTTGTGGTTTATGCGGATCACGCATCACTGCGGACCGCTATAAATTCACCGCACCTCTCGCCTAGGATGGCGAGATGGCTAACATTCTTCTCTGAATTTAATTTCAAAGTTGAATATACGCCAGGTAAGTCGAATGTCTTGGCTGACGCGTTATCGCGCAGATCAGACTTCGAGGCAAGACACCAGGATAGTGTGTCTCGTGCGAAAGCACAAGTTGAGTCGTCAACATTGGCAGCCATGAAGTCCTACCATGTGACGAGCTCAATGGCCTCCGATATAAAGTAGTGTTACAGTCAGGACGAACATTGTCGCCTGCTGTTGGATCATTTTGGTGGGCGGAAGGTTACCCTTCCGTCGCACCTCAAAGCGAAGCTTAATCGCTTTAGTTACAGTGATGGCCTCTTATGGCATCAACTGTCACCTTGTGATCCCTTGAGAATCTATGTCCCTCATGATGCTGATGATACTTCAAGAGTGTCATGATGCGCCATCTAGTGGGCATCTGGGCCGTGAAAAGACATTCTTACGAGTGTCAGAGAATTTTTGGTGACCCCACCTATATTGATGGGTGGCAAACTATATTCGATCTTGCGAAAAGTGTCAGCGAATTAAGCCTGCACCTTTTAGCAGTTCGACATTGAATACACTGCCGATTCCAACTGATTGTTGGAAGTCGGTCAGTTTGGACTTCATGTTTGGCTTACCTCCTGACCATAAAGGCAGGACGGGGCTCGTCGTCTTTGTAGACAGACTGAGCAAGATGGTGCATTTGGCACCATTGTGGTGGAGTGGGATTCGCAAGATTGCTGATGCGATCCCAACTCTCCACTGGCGCCCGGACGACCGACTAACGGAGGGGGTACCCCGATTCCGTGTGTATAGCCTTCCTCACCTTGTGTACCCGTCGGTAGGGCGGGTTGCTCTCTTCTCGGTAGACTTGAGTCGATGTTGAACTTGATTGTGTTAGGGATAGGTGGGGGGCGATCGCGTGGAATTCCTCACACGATCGCAGTTGTTCTTGGGGTGCTCTGTTTGAGTCGCCCTGATCTCCCTTGAGATCGCCTTGTCCAAAAATGTAGATACTTGATCCGCTTGCCTTCTGACCACTTGAGCCGTCTCGCGATCTTGTATCTGGACTTCTTAGTCCTCTGCGTCCAATCGCAGCTTGATTTGTTTTGTTGAGAATTCTTGCAATCCCTGGCCAAACAATCCAGGGATATGACTTGCGTAGTAGGTAGACTTCCTTGAGACGTCGGGAGGCCAAAGAATCCAGCCCGGAAGAGAAGTCGACACGTGTACGTAGAAGCAAATTGAACTCTGTTAATGTTAACCAATCAAATACCAAAACCTATGATCTTGACTATCTGTAGCTCAGGATCTGTTGCCACGTATCGCCCTTTCGGAAAAAAATCAGATCTCGGAATGTGGTCCACTCCAATATAGCCGCGATCTGGATCGCTACCTCACTCGGATATAATACCATTTTAGTACCAGATCGCGGTACTAAATAATTAGTACCAGATCGCGGTACTAAATAATTAGTACCAGATCGCGGTACTAAATAATTAATACCAGATCGCGGTACTAAATAATTAATATCGGATCGCGATCCGCCGGATCACGACTTGTCTTCTTCACCGTTTCTCAGGTCATGTGAGATAGTTCATCAATGTGACATTTCATATCCACCATTCCAGTCCTCCATAGCGACGTGATCCACACCAGACCGTCCTCCACATGCTTGGATGTACCCATCTTCCTCCTTAGCGACCGCGTTCACGCGGATCGCCATCGGAAATACTGGAGATCGCAATAGCGTAGTTTCTAGGCCATATTTTTTTTGACCCCACATAGAAGTGCAAACTACTCCATTCACTGTTTTCCATCCTATTTGACATCGTCTTGAAACCTTTCTGCGAGATCGCGACTCATCAATATTGGCCACGAGATCGCGACTCATTAATATTGGCCATTTCGGACTTAACCGAAAATATGCGATCACACTTGGCGAAATTCACTCTTTCACTTCGCCACACCATGTAGCACCAAGATCTCAGGAAAAGAGGCTACCCTCTTGTTTCTGGATCATGTGTACCGACTACACGGGATGCCCGAGTCCATAGTATCGGACCGGGATCCGCGTTTTACGTCAGGTCGACATGTGTTTGAGTTGATAGGTAACAAGCTCCACATGTCAACCGCTGATCATCCCCAGACCGATGACCAAACGGAACGAGCCAATCGAGTCGTGGAGGATGTATTGCGCAATGTAGCGCCTCCTAAATAATGGAGCAAGCACTTGCCATTCGTAAGGCTCGCTATTAGTGACAGTGCTCACGCCAGTACGGGTGAAACACCGTTTTACATAAAAGGACTGAGCCATCCTCGGACGCCAGTCTCGTTTGTGCGCAGCCCGAGTCTTCGCGGGGGAGGGGCCCTCACTTCGCTCGGTGTGAATGCCAAAGAGGGTCAAAATTGCCCTAGTGACACTGCTAATTTAGCAGTGGTCGCAACACCTATAGGTGTCAATGAGGAGGCACGGCAAGAAATGCCTGTGATCCTTGACGATGACACTATCGTGTTATCAACAGCGTCGACCCATGACCGACCTCTTGGAGGTTTCATAGGCGAGCTGGATGCTAAAAGCGTGAGTGGAGCTCAGCGCTTCATGGATAAGCGATTAGCCATTACACGTAAAGTCCGTGACGCAATGACAAGCGCACAGGAAAAGCAAAAACAATATGCGGACTAACATGGTCGCAAAAACAATGAACACTTTAGTGTGGGGGACAAAGTGCTATTGAGTACTGCTACCCTACCTAAAAATGCAATTTCTGTACTACCTGGCGGTATTACTGCACCACCGAGGTAAGGTTTTCTCTGACAACTGACATGATCGTTTTGTTTGCTTTTACTAGAGGCACATCAAGTAGGTCAGCATTAAAATTGTGCTATTTAATGAGTATTGGCACCGCATGTCAATGGCTAATCTCCCATCGCAGCAGGAATAGCCCCTCAGTCTCACTAGCACTAACGTCCATGGTCTACCAAAGTGTATATAACTACAGTTTGACAAAGACCAGTATATTTGTGTGGGATTCGCCGATTCGCGACTGGATTCGGTGGAATCTATTTTCCATGCAGAGTTTTGACTCAGCGAGTACGCGATGAATTTTGTGATCAAGTCACAAATTGAGACAAGTTTTGTCCTCATTCTTCACATTTCAAATGAATTTGAGTACTCATTTGTTATCATTGGTACTAAAGGACTTATGATGCGGGTGCCAAGTGCGCGGCGCTTCATTACAGCGCTATGTATGCTCATGCTTGTAGCTAAAGGCTCTCAAAAGCTTCGTATATTCGTCGTGTCTATCGTGACGCGATTAAACAAACTAAAAGCAGCTGGAACGACGGCGAATAAGCCGTCCTGGAGACTATTTAGCGTTTTTTTAAGCGATTTAAGTACCCATCGCGTCGGGAAAGTGCTTCTGGCGGACAACCACTGCATCGTTGAGGCCAAAAATGGCATCGAGACGTACAAGTAAGTAAGACCTTATAATGCAGTAGTTATTGACATCGATCGAGATGTGGACGATATCATATTTGAGATTCTGTGTATCTATTTGACAATCTATAATGTATTTTGTATATGTAGGGTACTCTTGCCACCACAGACAAAAAATACTTATCTTATAGATGTACTCGCTCGATCTGGAGTAGATTTTGGTTCCGTAACGCCATCGGTTACTAGTAGATTGGTGCCATTGGCGTTGACATTGGTGCCATTTTTGTACTTGGGGCTTACCTACAAAATGTTGCGTAGGATGTTCGGCACAGATGTTGGAGCTATAGGTAAAGATGGCACCAAGAAAGTGCGCAAGAAGCAACAGATCGAAACCATTTCATTTGACAATGTGGCAGGAATTGATGGAGCCAGGAAGGAACTGGAGGAAGTTGTCGATTTCTTGAGGAACCCAGCTCGATACCAGGCTATTGGAGCTAAAGTTCCGAAGGGTGTGCTATTATGTGGCCCGTCAGGGACGGGTAAAACACTGTTGGCCAGAGCTGTAGCTTCTGAATCGGGTGTAGCGTTCTTGTTTTGCTCAGCCTCGGATTTTGTAGAGATGCTGGTGGGAAGAGGAGCTGCTCGAGTGCGAAACCTCTTTACTCAGGCTTCGGAGTATCCGCAGTGTATCATCTTTATCGACGAAATTGATGCGCTGGCTAAAGCCCGTGGGGGTCTTAATTCAAACGATGAACGTGAGCAGACACTGAATCAGTTGTTAACGGAGATGGATGGATTCGAAGGAAATGCCAACGGAGTTATCGTGATTGCTGCTACGAATCGACCTGAGGTGCTCGATCCGGCATTGTGTCGTCCTGGTCGCTTTGACCGCCATGTGTACGTCGGATTACCTGACACCAAAGGTCGTGAGGCAATTCTAGAGGTGCACTGTCGCAACGTGCGTCTTGACAGCGAAATAAACCTGTCTGTTATCGCGAAGAAATGCGGTCAGCTTGGTCAGCGCTCAGGAGCTCAATTGGCAAGCCTCGTCAATGAGGCTGCGTTGATGGCCGTGCGGCACGGCAAAACCAGCATCAAGCTCACACACTTTGAGCTCGCGATGAATCGCGCTTTCGAGTCACAGAGGCGCAGCATCGCTGGATCATCTTTCGAGTTCATGACGGAAGAAAGTGAAGCCATGACGCATGCTACAGGACGTGCTTAAAAAAACTTGTGCTAGGTCTTGGATATTGAAATTTACAGATAGTATACACTTCATCCGTAGATGCAGCTGCAGTTGCGTGTTCTTGGAACTCGTAGCGCAATTATAATTTAGCTCGCTGCACGTACTCTTACTTGTTTGCAAGGTGTTATTATAAAGACGTGTAAGGATGACCTTTTGTAGACCAAGGTGCTCTCATCATTTGAGGAATAGACCAGAAGTGGATATGCGAGGTCACAAAGAAATATAGTAGGGAACGACAAGGTGGATTCGAATTAGACGTACGTACCAAGAAGTTTGTACATTAAGAGCTGTGCCTTCCTTCTACTTACATTTTGTGCACGATTCGTTTGCACGATCCACAATCCCAATGATGTAAGAGCCCAAGCTACGCCGACAGAATTGACAAGCTCGCAGAAGATAATCACTTCCCACTATGAGCTCAGCATGCGATTTCGCTCGAAAGGGTCAGCTTGGATCGGCAGATTTCAGTTTGAGCTCTCTCTTTCAGCTTTGCTTTCTTGCATATGGCCCGATTGAGGCCCAAGCCCAAGAGAGACGATTCTTGCGTCGAGCTCCGAACAGAAGCCATTACTTTGCGATCTCTTTGGAACCGCGCGGGACACTTCAAGGAAATGTGGTGTTTGATCTGGTTACGAAGACATAACGTAGCTTTAGGCTTACGACTGTAAGCGAAGGACGCAGCGCTTCAGACCGCTAAGATCGTTGCTGTAAATGCGATGAGTGTGCTGTTGGCAATTAGCGTCAAAAAGCGCGGGAAGCATTACGACTTCATGCTTAACAGAATGTATTGCAACATGAAATAATGAGTGTGCAAGGCGTTCCTCTAAACATATAAAAACATCTTGCCGTTTGTAGGAAGCAGAAATACTCAAAGAGCGCGTAAACGGCATCAAGAATTATAATCTGCATGAAGGACTTTCCTCCCACACACTAAATGCGACTTGAATGTTGGGCCAGAATGAACAAAGTTATATTCAAACGGATAGGAATGAAGAGTCTACATGGCTTATAGTTTGCAAGCTAAGCTGGTGTCAGTTGCTTTGTGAGGGTGACTGCGGATAATCAATCACAATTTGTCTTAGCAAATCAGAATGGTCGCTTAATACGCTGGACAAGGTGACAATAAGAGAAGAGTCGGTCAATCGAAGCCGTATTTCGTAGTCTGTGTTCTAGCTAGCTGTTAGCCAATCCATGGGTCCATATTTCGTAATGACTACGTAAACCGCACGGCCAAACAAATGGTCAAGGTAATTATTACGCTCAAGAAATACTGTTTTGAAAAGGATCTTCAATTGTCTCAGCATATGATCCCGACTGAACGAGCAACTTCATCGTCAACAAAGACATGTCGACGCAAAAGCTCATTCACATAAGCCTCTTCGTATGCTTGCATAAGTTTTAACTGAAAGATTGATTGACGAAGACATCAGACATCGGCTTCTCTCAAAACAGCAGATGCTGTCTGGTCATTTACGGGATGATGCGAAAACCCCAGCGTGTCGTCATATACACGTTGTCATGAACCTCAGTTACATTGAATAGTTTACAGTCTCGTCGTCCAGCCCAAAAACAGCAGCTACACTTGCCTAGATTAAGTACTTAGACTTCGCATCTGAATGTGATACCACAATATCCGAGTTTTTCAAGGACCTAGTGTTAAATGGTAAAACTGCTAGAATACTTCAAGGATTCGCTTTTCGTGCTTTATATCCCTCATGTCATCATCTTAGTGCATATACTGCCTATAGTTCCGATGGGAAGTAACACGCAGGCTTCTCTTAGCAAGAGACCGAGGTCCATTCACTTTACAACTTCCATCGTGACAAACAAGCGTCTCCAACCTACCCGATATGTGGACCATCACGTCTCCGCATCATATCCTATTACCTACCCTCTTTACACTGTTCGCAATTGCAACATTCGCAGCAAGCCCCTCTGGGCTACGAGATGAACAAGAGATGTCTACACATCGCCGACTTCAAGCAACTCTGACCGACGTACCATCTCTAAGACTGCACTTCATGCTCAAGCGTCCCTCCATGGACATCTACGAACAGTCCCAGTTCTACGTCTTTGCCAATCCCGTAGTGTCATCTGATAACACCTCGGTGCTTTACGACGGCTTCACCACATTCGTGAACGGAACCACTAATTCTACGTTCATGATGGTTGACGGCATCGTCTACTTTGCGACGTCGACAGCGGGCGACGCTAGGACTGCACAGTGTCTGTCTACCAGCCTACTGCCGCCCATCCACGACATCATCGCGGCGCTTAATGATGCCATCGCCATCTCGAGTGCGGCCTGCGGCTCCGACACCATTACGTGTCCAAGCGGAGATCTGTTCCAGGCCACCTTTGGCGACGCAACCTTCGTAATTTGCGCGTCAGGGTCAGTTGGCTTTACCATTTACGGCAGCGACCTGGACATCAGCGTGGAGTATCTAAACAGCCCGGTCACGATCACTGCACCGAAACTAAGCGATGAAGCCATGCTGTCATGTGAAAAAGTGGAAGCGCCAACCTCGGTTTCTTTAACGACGTTGGCACTTCTCACTGGACAACCCATGTCCTCGTCTAGCCGCCGAAATCTTCAATCGCGACGTTCCACGAGGCTGCCCGCGCCGTCATGCTCGTGCAAATCGACCCTACGTGCATGCATTTTCTTTCACGGCCTGAGTTCCACCACCGAAAGGACGACTCTGCAATCTAGCTCTGATTACTTTTGGGACCTGTCTAAGAATGCACCGTGTTGCTCGTCTATCAAATACGCCGTTCTGAATACAGTTGCCGTTCCGTGGACGGACGCAACACTGCAGCAAAAGGTGTGCAATTTTGCCATCTTTGTGAGCAGCACCAGCAGCTCGTCGACGATGAATATTGCGGATACAATCATCGTCACACATTCTATGGGCGGTCTCATGATGGCTGGTGCGCTGGCCAACGGGCGATGCACATTTGCTGCAAGTACTACTTGGGTAAGCTTGAGTGCACCAATGACTGGTAGCATGGGCTCTGACTATCTTCAGGACGCATGCAGCGGAAGTAATGTTTTCCTTCAAGGTGTGGCAAACTTAGTTGGGCAGTGTCCAGCAAGCAATGCCGTGAAGATGCTTGCATACGAGAACGAGACACGAAGCACATCGGCTCTCAACGCAGCGTATGTGGCAGCAAGGAATGCTTTTCAGGCTAACGTCGATGCCGCAATGTGCAGCAACGACTTCTCGGGTCTTTTTTCGTTGGATCAGGCTTTGTACAAAGTAGCAGGGTCTGTCATCCGACACAAGTCGAACCAGAACGATGGCGTCGTTGAGTCCCAGAGCTGTGCTGGAGGAATAGCTCTATCCCGGTTCGGCACTACCTACACCAATCCCTTCTATTTGACTCGTCTCAATCATGCTGATACAGCATTTCGTCATGGCGATGGTTTATTCGCGAACTCCCAGAAGCCTGTCAAATGGTTCGAATGCCTTCTGTAACTCCATCAACTGCAAGGTACTACCAGGAAGTCTTGTCAATACTGAATTAATTGTATAGTGACCAATAAAATGTACCCAACCCCAAAAAGTTGCCCAAAAAGTATCTCGAACTTTATATGTCATTCGACCCTTTTTACGACTTGTCAATCATGACATCGACACTTCTCGGGACGACCTTAGTGCCGCTATGTACGTGCTCTCCAGGCTCTTCTGGACGCGACCTTCAGCTCCACAATGAAGGCATTGACATTCTACAAGGACCAAAACTTTTGACGCGAAAAGTAGCGCTCGTTGGCATTTTATACGTCCCAGACGCTCAAGACGGTGGATCAAGCGCAGATTCCGATCGCGGCCTGTTTCTAAGCCCCAATGTCGCTCTTTCTGTGGCTAAACAAAATACGAGCTTGTTGCTGTTAGTATTACGTGGTGTTTCGCTAATCGATGAGCCGTTCTGGGGTTCGCTGCTGTTCGTGCTGAGCTCACACGTGGTCGTGGCCAAGGCTGGACCCATTACCACCGCTAGTTTTCAGACGGCGCTGCCATTTCTAGCGGACTTTGCACGAGTTCAAGTGACTGAAATGACAAACGATGAAGAAAAGAATGCGACGCTGCTGAAGGAGCTGGCGCCTCACGTCACATGGGGCGCGGTGGATCTCAAACTCAAGGATATGAATGGCTGCGACTCGCCGTCTGCTTACTTCGAACAACAAATGGCTGCTGGATCAACCGATGCTCAGCTATTGCTAAGTGATTTTGTGTCTGTGAGAGACTGTATCGTGCTAAAATCCAATTCTTTTCAGGGACCGGAAGACGTGCATACGTCGCCCAAGCTATTGACTCATGTAGCTGACAGATTGGCGTGCAAATCCTTCTTTGGGCGCTATATGAACGGACCACTGCTGGTGCGACTTTGCAAACTGTTGGCACCTGCCATGGCAGCTCCAGATGGAATTTCAGTGGTATTGCAGCGTGTGGTGACGGATGTGTTTGCTGCACATTGGCAGGAACTGGTGCAGCGAGCTTTCAAAGCGTACTGCAATGTACTGCATGCGAGGTTAGCGGTGTATGAACGAGCGCCAATTACGGCAGAGTACCTTGTGGATGTTACAGAACGGAAGCTGAAGGCGAATCAGTTGAACAATCAGCATGTCGCGGCCGTGGACGCTGGACAGGGAAATCAATCGGTATTTGATGAATTTGGGAATTTGAAAAAGCAGTTGGATTCTGAAAACAATGGCGACGAAGGAGGCCGTTTCACGCCCTTGGATACCGGGCTCTTCAGCTTTTTGAAAAACAGAGCCAGTCGTGCATTTAGCAAGCAACTCTCACGAATGCCTACAAATCGTGTGAGCACATCGATTCGAGGTGGGGGCCAAACAACATCTCTAGGTGACAGTGTGAGACTTGGCGGTATTCGGAAAGACGTAGAGGCAGCAGAGGCCGAGCTCCTGGACGAAGCAATTCCAGCACAAACACCTGACCAAATGCTAGCACGATGCACGGCAAGTATCGTGCATTACTCGGTATCAAGGGAGTACCTCAACACTCCTAGCGAGGCGATGCCTGTTAATACTGTCGTGCTGGATACAGTACATGCCGAAGGATTGGATGAAGTGAAGGCGCTACTGAAGCCATTCCTTGTGGATCTGCGTGGTCCATCACCGCCCACCCCTGAACTTGCGTGCTCACTTGACTTCCACGTAGGAAAGAAAAACTTGTTGGCGAAAATGGCTCGCGTACGAAGGCGTTTTGATCGCGCGAACGAAGTTTCATCGGCTATCTTTTGTGGCGAATTGCTACGTTATCTACACTCGGTGGTGCTCCGTAAAAATAAGACTGACACGGAAGATCAACAGCAGCAGCAACTACGAGGCCGTGCAGTTTCTTCAATTATGCTTCTCGATAAAAAGAGTGGAAATGATCTTGTTGCTCTGACGCGAGTGCCTTTGGAGTTATTAACATACAAGAACAACTTGGAGGCAATGGTGTCTCAATATAACTTTGTCGCACGTGGTCCTCAAGCTGCAACAGTGCTCGCGGGATTTCTTTATGGACCCGTTCGCAAGCAGATTCAATACTTGACACAGCATGAGTACGGCCGCTTTTCGGCAGCTTGCAAGGAGAAGGATCAACGTATCAAGGAATTAGAGGAGGTACTAGGGAACAAGGAACGTCAGGTCCATCACATTACAAACGCGAACGCAGAATGGGGCCGTCAAGAACAGGAAGCTATTGCCGAAATCGAACATACCCACTCTGAGCAGTTGAGCTCGCTCCAAAGTGCAATTCGTAGCACAGAAGCACAGATCAAAAGTGCACTAGCTGATCAACAAGCTCTATATCAGAGCACGATGCAGGCTACGAGGCACACAATCGACACAGTGGATAAGGTAGCTGATAAGAGTCGTGTGGTGTCGGGCTACCTCGAGCGCTATGAGAAGGGCCGCGTTTTCTCATCGCGCTGGCGTCAATACTTTTATGTTCTGAAGCAAGACACGCTCGAATGTTACAAATCGAAGAGCGAGTACGAGGAACGCGGGCCTACTTTTGAGCAGTCTATTAGTATTAGCGGCTACAGTGTTGTGCGCAGCCAAACCGACGAACTCAAGATCAAACTGGTTCCACCCGAAGCAGGCCATCGAATGCTCCGCTTCCGCGCTCCTGCCAGCGTGGGCCGTGAAACATGGATGAAACGATTTACAGAGGCGACACAGATCGCAAGCAGATAACACCCTTGTGCCGTCTCATTTCAAAGGTGAGAGTCTGTTCGTGCAAACAAACGCAGATTGTGTTATGCGTTAGTGATCATCTCCTCACATCAGCCCTAGTGGCTTGTCAAGCGAAGAAAGTCTTCTGCCTTGAAATGAAAAGCGCAAGCGCACAGGTCCTTCAAAGAGCCCAAGAGCTTACGCAAAGCGAAATTCAAATGTTAGCTGGAAAACGCAGCATTCTATTCCATGTTCGTCTTGCCACCTGTCAAACCAAGCAAAGGCAGGAAGTGTGGACAATAGATCAACCGCTTTCGTTTTAACATCAGGAAATAATTTCGGACAGGCATCGCAGTCACTGTTTTTCAGTATCGCCAAGTTCCTGAATGACGTGGAATATGTAGTCGATGTTGTTCTGTCCTAGGTCGTAGCAGCTCGGCAGACATTTTGCATAAACGCGGCAGTGTCATAATACGGTGCTCCGAAGACACTCCGCTTCAATTCGGAAGGTATTTTGCTACAATGATGAGACACCTTAATTGTTGTGACAACATTTGGGCAGCAAAAGCGACTTCATTTTTATTCTTGCGTCCTATGTGACAAGAGTTAAGATGACGCCTGTGCTACAAAGTAAAGAAAAAGAATACAATGGTAACGACTGGTGAGCGCTCAATGGATCTTTCTTGACGCAGCCAACTTCTACACGCGAACAAAGCTCCATGGTCCTGTGCTTAGACACTGTTGTTCTTTAGTGGTTGTTCTTCCAGACCAAGTACCGCGTGTCGCCCAGCTTACGCGGACTGAGTTTGTGCTTGGCAAAAAACAAGATGGCCAGCACCATGCAGAGCGCACCCACGATGATGTACGCGATGCCAAGGAACGGATTTCGGCCACCAAACCATGATGTGGTAGAGATCACGATCGACTTCTTGCCCTCGAATGTGCTTACCACAAAATCTAATATGACAATACACAAGTATCAAAGTTAGCGTCTGCTCGCCACATTCCCAAATGTACAAAGATGACACGCCAAACTTACTGCTAGAAACGAGGAACTCGAGCTTCGTGCCCGCCGCCAAATCTGTGTCAATACGGCCATATAGTTTGCGGAAACTAGGCAGTCCAGCCGTGCGCATCCAGACGATAAAGTGCTCGTCTTGGACACCGTAAGCAGGTGCGTTTGTCGTCCATGCCGTCTTGTTGGCAATAGGTTCCTGGCCCTTGTACATGGGAATGATGTAGCGGTAGCGGGGGTTCTGCCAAAGCATCATCGTGTTGTCTGCGTCCGCAAGCTCGTCCAAGTTGATATTTTTGAATTTGGTCTCAACATCCGATTTCCAGGCGATGCCTGTTTGATCCACAAGATTCACAAGTGTCTTGCCTTGATACGTATCGTTCTGGTAGTACGTCTCGCCACCAGTTACAAGCTTGTTCACCCAATAAATGTCGTTAAACAAACTGTTGACAATCAATCCACAAGGCATCAGCGTGTAGTCCGTCTTATTGTCACCAATTGGCTTTACTGCCGTTGAGTTGTACTTGAAAATACCCGTCCCAGACTTCACCATCGGTGAGCAGTCACTGGTACTGGCCATTGCATCTCCACGAAGCTGAGCATCACTGCGACTCTGGACGTAACGACGGTGATTCTGGTAGAAATTATCCAGCTGGTAATACAAGTACACGGGTGCTTTCATGTCTTTTTCAATATCAAATGTAATTCTGCAGCCATGTTTCTTCACATCAAATGTATCGCCTTCATCCACTTCACTTAAGTAACAGCCACTGCCAATGTTTACAATGTTGGATGAAGATGTCATTGCGTTTCCATCATATTGAATAGAGTATTCCACGACCTGTAATAATAAAGAACAACAATAATAAACCCTCTACGTATCAAACAATCCTGTCAACAATCCATAGAGAATAAAAATCACATACATTGTCCGACTCCGTGTGTAGTACGACCCCAATGGGGATAAAGATGAGGCCAACGATAGCAAAGGTACCAATGACCCAATTGGGTGTCAAGATTGGTTGCCAGGCCTTAAGCTTCTGTTGCTTGAAGGGCGTATCTATACGTCATAATTCATACATTACAACAAGATAATATCATTCATTATAACAGCACGTACCTTCAGGTTTTCTCGATTTCTCGTCCATCATGGCGAGATATCGCTTCAAATTTTACTTGCCGTGTAGTTTGATTCCTTCTCGATCGCTAAATAAGACGTATTGGGGCAGCACGAGCTTCCTACGTTCAATATTACGCTAATGAAAAGAAGGCGACGGGGGTTACGCCGTTATGGAGATAAGAGATTGTGTGTAGTATCCCAGTCTGGCTCGAATGCTAGATGATCATTGGCAGAAAATCAGCTTCGTACCATGGCTAAGAATAGTAGCATCGTCCGTAAAGCGAGGGACTTTATTGGCATCCTGTATGTTTTTCAGCGGATTTCAACCACTTATGTGTCTTTCAACTGACATGTTTATACCCAATCATCATCATCTAAGAAGGTCCCGTGAAATTAGATGGCTACATTGATCATTTTCAGACGAACCACATAGACACTTGACGGCCACATGAGCTATCGCGGGGATGCCCGTCGTGGGGGCAATGACCGATACGAAGGATCTTCTTCTGGCAAATATGGTGGAGAACGAAGCCGAGAATTCTCACGTGATCAGCCACGCGAACGAGACTCGTATCGACGCGATGGAGGACGTGGACGCAACCGTTCTGACAGAGATGTACCTCGCCGGTCAGAGCTTAACCACGACCTAGAGCGTGATGGTGACTCAAGTACATTGTCTGAACAACAAGATGAGAGTCAACCGAAGGTATCAAGTGCATGGGATCCTGCTAAAGAAGCACTGGAAGATCCTACGTGGGCTCGTATCTACATTTCAAATCTGCCATCGGACGCCACGAGCGACGAGTTACAGGAAATGTTTGGTGCCATTGGTGTGGTTGCACGTGAAAAGCAAAAGCGCGGGTACAAGGATCAATGGCCTTTTAAGATCAAGATCTATACGGATACAGACGGTCAGCCAAAGGGTGACGCCGTGCTCACGTTCGAAGATGCAAACGCGGCGCGGACGGCGCCAGAGTTTTTTAATGGTAATATTGCTACAATTCTCAAGTGTGTATAAAGGTGTTAAAGACTGATTGAAGACTGCTACTACACAGGTGCAGAGATCCGTGGCAAGACTATCAAAGTAGAGCTTGCTGGTAAACCGGAACCTCCTGTAGGTGGTTGGCATGGTGGCGGTGGCGGCGGTGGTGGTCGTCGTGGTGGTGGTGGTGGACGTTTTGGAGGAGGAGATAAATACGGCGGAGGTGGCTATAGTCGATATGGAGGTGGAGGAGGTGGTGGTGGTGACCGTGACTTCCGTGACCGATCGGATCGTCGTTCACGTCCGTACTGAAAAGACAACAGCATTTGTTGATTTCGTACCTCTAGTCTACACCCCAGCAGCTGGGCGTCTGATAACGTCGTCTACTGTACATCCGATTTGAATTAAACATTTCATCCAATCAGATACCAGAAGCTCAACTCAGTCTTCTTCCTTCACATTTAGATACTCTTGACGACCTCAGGGCGTGTGTGTCATGGGCTTATTCAACTTGCTTGCGCTCTCTATTGAGACGTCAGTACTAAGTTGGTACATACTAACTCCATTGCTATCTACTGGTGGGTCTATTGTCCTAATACAAGACCTACGATCCGTACTAGAGTTCCGTCAATCATTAGCACTCCAAGCTCTCCTGTCTTTATTCCGTCTGCACTTGTTTGTGTACATTCGTCGTCGCAATAAGCGTGTACCATCTACACGATGTTTTGTTTTTGTTGTATCACTTGTAGAAGTGATCATATGTGCTCTTGGTTCATTGCAGCCACTGTTGTATATGGACGGGAAAGAGATTGATACATTTTCTAAGTTTCGTCAAGTCCATTGGGGCGACTTTTATGTCGCTGTACTGGGCGTTATGGCTATTATCAGTACGCTGTTGCAACTTGGCTACATTTTACAACTTAATAAAAGTCGGGGACGTTTATTTGACGATAAATTACTTCGAAATGTAATGGGTGAAACACCACGTGCGAAATGGAGGTCCAAGTGGGCCACACTTGGTAAACAATTTGCGGGACGACGTAAACAAAAAGACTTGACATTTCAAGCTATTGTGAAGCTTTATGCTCATCAAGAAGGAGCTGTGGATCGATTAATTGTGTCGTCAGAGCAAGATGAAGATGAGTTTGAATTTTATCTACCACAATTATGCAGCTTTCTCTTGCTCGGAGCATTTACAAGATCGCCACAATTGTGTGCATTATTACTGAGAAAATGCAGTGTGTAAGTGATTGTTGTTATTGTATAAGCAAGGTAAAGGAGAGCACTACTAATGTTGTAGTGTTTGATACATGACAGATCTCATGTGTTTGCACACAAAATGTTATGGTACTTGCAGTCCTATTGTCTGCATAGTCCAGCTTACGTCACGGAAGCTGATGTGCAGCGTGTCCAGATGCTGATTGATGATGTATCAGAGAGTGGCGCAGCACCAGCGATGGCAGTTGCTTGTCCTTCCAGTCCAGCTAATTTGGAGCATCGGCAGTGCCGTACAGACCGCGGGCTGGGAGGGTCTGCGAGTGCACAAGAAGTCGAAGCATTGCTGCCGGGATCCCAGGATGACCACTACGCTACTTTCCAGGAAAAGAACGATCTTGAGCAAGGGCTGATGAGCGCTGCCGCCCCTAGAATGCCTGTTGCATCTGGTGGTGTTGTGCCTTTTAATCATGAGACTGCTTTTTTGGGATCGTTGGCGAATCTGTCATCAAATTTGCGTGCTGTGGCGTACGACCGTCGCAACGACATGGTACGTTATGATCTGCTACATTGATAAGCTTTCGGCCAGTAAACTTTTGCTAAATTGCTCTTGTGCTTTGATGCTTCAGCTTCGTGTCTGGCTACAAGACCTGGAAGCTCAGTACTTGCCGAGCAACTCGCTGTACCTCCCTGTCGGCAATTCCTACCACCGACTTAAGCACATTCATGTCGATGAAAGTTTTACGTTCTCAACGAGGGAGCGTGTTCCATTTCTTCTGTGTGCCGAGGTTGTGGACTACCCGTCTCCGCAACAAGAGCTTGTAGCTCGGGACAAACGTCCCAGCAGCGTGTTTAATGGCCGACGCTTTACCCTCAGCCTTTGGGATGCTACTACAACTCATGACTCGACGACAGTTTCCGCATCTGCGGACCGTACACCATTGATATCCCCGGAAGCTGCCAAACTTGGATTCTGGAGCGAATCACGCACACCTAGCAGCCCAACTAGACTTCGGTCATTTTCACACCACATTTCGAGCAAAATGGCACAACCGTCGGAACTGCTGCACGGACTGCTTGACTCCCTTGTCGGTAAGAACTCTAATGAGAAGAACTATGACCCAAAGAGTGAGGCATTGTTGAGCAAGGCGAGAGGCGAGGATTATGATGAGGACGCTCCTAGTCGCTTTCACGATTTGCCGGAGAGAAGTCAAAGCCAGCCATTTTTCAAGAGCTCGCGTGTGATCTCAAAGGGAAGTCTCAACGTTGACACGAGCACACAGGGACTTCGGCCGACGCTCTCGGCCCAGACGGTGCCTCCATCGATCCTACCTGTTGCTACAGACATTGATGATAGCGATGCTGTGAGCAATGTCAGCGGGCCGTGGTCACCAAAGTCAGATACAGTGCTGTCGGAAAGCTCGCCACACCATCTCGCGCGGTTCGATAGTACAGATCGATTCTTGCTGGACCTATCTGAGCGCGACTCAAAGCTCGAGGAAGACGAAAAAGCTGAGAGCAGTGATCCGTCTTCTAAAACACGGCATCACGCTGCATCAAGTGATCCACCCTACGTCATATTTAAAGAGCGTTGGGCGGATAAAGAACGCCGAATTCAAGCCACGTCGCCGTATGGACACCTTCCCGGCTGGCGGTTGCTGCCTGTGATTGTTAAAAGCGACGATGACCTACGTCAGGAGCAGTTTGCCTTACAACTAATCCATCAGTTTGCAAAGATGTTTGCAGAATTTAAGGTACCTGTCTTCATCCGACCGTACGATGTGATCGCCATTTCAGCTACTTCGGGTCTTGTAGAGGCAATCTCTGATACTATCTCAATTGACTCGCTGAAACGCAACGACCGCGAATTTACGACGCTGTTGGACTTCTTCACGAGGCATTTTGGTGACCCCAGTACGCCTGAATTTCATCGAGCCCGATCGAATTTTGTGAGCAGCATGGCTGGTTACGCGATCGTGTGCTATCTACTTCAGGTGAAAGACCGCCACAACGGCAACATTCTGCTGGACGCGGAGGGCCACATTATCCATATTGATTTTGGCTTTATTCTGGCAAACAACCCAGGCAATATGGACTTCGAGCAGGCACCTTTTAAGCTAACGGCTGATTTTGTAGAGCTCATGGGTGGTCCACGTTCTGCCCACTTTCGCCGGTTCCGGTCTCTCTGTGTCCGATCGTTTCTTGTTGCACGGAAGTATCGCCACCGGTTTGTATTACTTGTGGAGATGATGTTGCACGGCAACGAGCACCTCCCCTGTTTTGCCGGAGACCCGAAGGGCACAGTTGAGCGCCTCGCCGCTCGTTTTCAGCCAGACTTGGGCATCAACTCTTGCGAGGACTTTGTGCACGAGCTCATTGATGCTTCATTAGATAACTGGCGCACTCGCTGGTACGACAAGTACCAGCGCTGGATTGTCGGTGTCTTCTAAGCAAGTGGCGGTGATGATAAGGAGATTATGAAGCGGGTGTTTGTTCACTATCCAAATCCGCTCAAGAAAGAACAAGAAAACATGAACTCCTGTAGGAGTTAGACGAAACATGCGCAATTATAAGCCCAGCAACAGGCACCTCCAATTTAGACCACTTTGTAAACGACGCGTCGATTGCTGTCGCTCGTCAGGGCCCTCGTGTAATTTTTTGCCATTGCACCTAACGTCACGGACTCCAGTCAACCAGAGACGATCAAGGCCACCAGACTGAAGTTATTTATTACCAGAATGGATGACCGCCCAAGGAGAAAGCTGCAGCCACGATTCAGCGGAACTTTTCCAGGTCTCACCACTTGTGCTACGGCTGAAACGCTTGAGAACCGTCGCAAAAGCTTTCAAGGTTAGTGTCTACTTATGTGAGCCATCCTGGAGCAGGCACAGCGATTACTTTATTTAATGCTTGAGTGCTTGCAGGACCTAAGACTGACGCTATGCACAGAATGGTGCTTGCCTGAAAGCAACGCGACCAAGTTGTTCACCACCACAAAATTCCGAACTGTCGGATAATGCTCTGTTAAACAAACGTGAGGTATCTTGCATGCATTCGCCGCATATACAGATCAGATAGTACTGACACTTCTACTATTGAAACAGCAAAACGGGTATCGTGAAGTGAAAAAAGCAGACTTAACTCACGGGTGGCAATCAGGATGCAAAAAGTCATCAAGACGACGTTCATCTAGTCAATCAGACAACTCCTGCTTACGTTCCGCTTGTCTCGAACTCCACTGTTTTCTACGACTACGCTTCGAAGTGCTTTGACCCCATCTCACAACAGTTTTGATAAACTCACGGGTCAGTACTGCCCACGACTCCCAAAGGATACAACTTGCCACCGTTGAAAGTGCATCGGCCTACCGTACGGACTGGCAGGAATAGTGCAGCAGGGTTCCATTCGGTAAACGCACGAATGTGCCGACATCGAGTTTTTTACTACAAAAGTGGCAACATTGAGACGACCACACTGTGACTGATTCCTTACGCTTTGTAGAAAGTTGCTCTCGAACCTTAAAGTTCTCCATTTTTGAAAGCTGCTTCTTCACTTGTCCGTTGCGAAGACGCTGGACCTGGCACTCAAGTACACGACGAAAGAACGTAGCCAAAGGTGCTGCAGCTACATTCGCTGGCAAAAGCTCAAGAGCCGCGGATACATCAATCCGCTCAGCGTAATTGTTCAGCAAGTCGATGGCAGCCTGTACATCCTCACTCTGTAAGTCAGAGCTTGAAGTCTTCCGTAACGGAAAAGATTTTGGTGAGGAGATGATGGCGCGCGACGCGATTCCAGATGCTGTCCTACCTGCGTGGCACTGTGGGCGCAAATAAATTTTCAGCAGCGTGGAGTAAATCGACGAATCAGCCGTCTTCGATTCGTAGCATCGATTGCAATACGCTTCCGCCAGCACTGCATCTTTTAGTTCCAAAGCATACAATTCAAGTACTTCATGATGACGTCCAAGTTTCGAGAGAAGCGCCGCGTGTTCGTCGACCATTTCAATGGGCGTACGGCTTAACATACGTTCTGGGTGGTAAGCAGCTCCAGGAAACTCAAGGAACTGTAGCAGCTTTCGACGTAAAATCCCTATCGCATCACGCTGTACCTCAACACGACTGGTGAGCCTTCCTTCATGTGGTATCTCGGCGTTAATCATGTCCAATAGCAAGTACACCACTTCGTCATGCAACCGCGGCGTCAGTTGACGCGTTCCTTCATATATAAGTTGTGTAAGATATTCGATTGCCAGCATTTGACTGCTGATTAATGGCAAACTTGTTTCTGCTGTGTCCTTGACAGAAAGGGTTTTCCAATCATAGCTTGAGGTAGCGATAGTACAGCTCTTAAGGTGCTGAAGTACCGCAGCTGGATCAATATCTGTCTTTGTACTGGGTACTTCGCGCTGTGTAAAAATTGAAAGCCCCAGCGCAGGGTTCACGGACAAGACACGTCGTGAAAATTCAAAAACTAGGTCAGCATGCTTTTTGCCCAATACACGAAGGTACTGCGCGATAAGCACCATATAGTCATGTGATGATTGCAGATCGCCCGAACTCTGCGGTTCATCCACTTTTTGATCTGTTTCGTTCTTTTCGGACAGGGCAGCAGCTGATGCCGCACTGCGCTCAAGGTCCTCAAGTAGCTCAAGCGCCTTACGATGCAACTTTCGAGCAGAGTAAAATGCCAGCAGCGCCTTAAACCGTCGATGAGCTAGGAGAAAAATCTCAGCCTCACCAATCTCGCACCAATTTTGCCCGGTTACGACCTCGAGCAGCGCACGCTTAGCACGATTTTCATACTTTGCCTTTTCTGACACTACAACAAGACACTTGACCAGCATGGTATCAATTAGCTCGAGTGCAGTCTCGTCACTAGGTTCAAGGCTGCGGCGTGTACGTATCCCAATAGCCGATAATTCCTCTTCGTGATGCAAATAAGCGTGTCGTTTACGGCGTAGAAACCCTATGAGAGCTAACAAACTCTCCACTAAATCATCACCTTCCAAAACTCCTTCCTTATTATTGCTGCTGGTATCCTTGCGTAAAGCGCTGATCTTGCGAGGGAGAAGGTTTCGTGGAAAAAGTACCAGTACCTCCAAGACATCGATATTGCTCTCAAAAAAGTAATTCATTGCTTCCTGTCGGCGTGCCAATCGAAACAGCTTGAAGCCATAATCGGCGTACAGCTTCTGTTGATCAACGTCGCTCAGTGGACTGTCCTCCGAGCAAAGCTTGCAAAGCGCGACGGCATCTTCCAAGCGGCGATTTCCCAACGACACAGCAACTTGCTGTGCAATCGGAAGCATTTGGTGCATTTGGACCTCAAAGGGTGGAGACACGGTGAACAAAGTCGCAGGTCGATCATGTCTAAATTGCAATCGATCCGGTCCCACAGTCGCAGATGCGACATTGCTGACCACACAAATGCCGTAAGGTATCTTGACTGAGATGGTCTGAATCATTTGCAACGAGTCAAAGTTATACACTGCAAGTTGTTCTACCTGGTTTAGGAGTAAAAATGGGTGATGGAAATACACATTAGACGGAGCCACATTGTACTCAATGATCCTCTCCACCTTGATAGTCAATTGACGAGTCGATAGATCAAGTGCTTTACCTGCACTCATATCATCCAACCTATCTGTATCATCATCAAAAGCTCCATACACATTTTCCTCTGTCTCCACCATCGAAATATCTTCATCAATGGATAAAATCACTCCACGATGTTTGCCACATAGCAACAATTCCATCACATGTTGTCGTCGTCGAGCCAAATGTCGGCTAGGTAGTGATACTGCATCACAAACAGCAACTCTTCCTTCCAGAACATCATTGACTTTATCTTTTACATCTTCTGATACATGAAACACTTTGCCATTGTCCAAATTAAGTACACTCCAGTCTTTTTTTCTCTGGATACACACATGATTTTCACTCAGCAATAATAACTGCTGCACAGGCAATAGCATCGTCTGTAATTCATGTTGAGCCCGAAGGGCCAGAGTCCTCTTGACAGTCCAATCATAGACTTTTACGATATTGGATTTAATTAGAGCACACAGTGTCTTTGCCTCTTCATTAACCGTAAACAGAATAGCGTCCTTTAATTCATCCCTAACCACAGCATGTGTATTATTAAATAGTGGCAGGTCATAAAGTTTTAATCGATTGTCAATTATCGTAGCAAATACACCCCAAATATCCAAAAAATTGCAGCAAATGTGAAATAATCGCTTATAATCCGCTTGCCAGTGCATGGAGCCTGTGCGTTCATCGAGTACGTAACTACGGAGTGTACCGTCCAAGCAACCAATAAAGAGCATTGGGGATGAACCACGTGTGCTATGGAGAAGACGAATGATTTGTTGTGGACGCTTTAAAGGCACGTCGACGTCCACTTGGACGCCGGCAGCGTATGCTACGAGGTCGGAACTCATTTTTGATTTGGATATTTTTTAGATAAAAAAAGATATTTTTTTAGAGAATTTAAGGGACCCTAACGGTAAAATACCGCATTTATCGTTAGTTTTCTTTTTGTGCAGCAAAATTTATCTAGCTTTCGAATAATGACGATAGTGTTTTGCCGTGTACCGAATTCAAAGAGCTCGACATGCACGAATATCTGGACTGATAAAGTTGCTTAATAGTATCAGAAAAATGTCAGCTTCAGTCATTGCAATCAATATAACGCTAGTAGAATCGGTCAAATTCACTTTCTGAAAAATGTTGCAGTTTAGATGCAGTAACATATACTGTTTATGAAAAAGCATGTGCAAAACCTTTCAGTGGACCGGTTTGTATTGACAGCTATACGCACGATCGCTAGTTTCTTGTGGTTTTTTAATGACCAAAAACAGCTCTTTACACGCAAAGAATTACCGAGGAGACGTACTTGGGTGAGAGAAATGACTGGCGGTATCACTCAGGAAACATGCTGTGATTGAGTTTATATGTGTGGTCAAAGAAAGTGATACGCCTCAACACTCGAACTTTGTGTAGTCAACGATGCCACGGTCATTATATCATCGATTCGGCTTGTAATGTTAGGCGGATGCTGGTATAAAAAAATAAATGCACGAGTTTCTACAAGACCGATGTGTAAGGAAGCCACTGGCTCCAAAGTTAGCGCAGGGACCGGCTGTATAGCTGGACGATATTGAAGTATTCGGCGCGTCGCCTTTTAACGCTGAGTTGTCGCTCTGTGTGTGACCGAGAGCTATAGCGTTGTTGTGCCAATCAGGACAACGTTTGAGCCACACGCTGCCACACGACATCTGTTCGTTGCCGACGTTTCCTTTCAGTAGCGAGCGTGGTGAGTGTCTCCTACCGGATGTGTCCTTCATTGCAAGCGTACCGTGCACTCCTACGATTGTGTAGTACTGTGTAACTCCAATGCTCACTCTGTTGTTCATCGCATCATACACGGCCACTTCCCCATTGTTCGTCACGACGGCAACGACCTGCCGTCATGTGGTTGCTGCTTGCTGAGGCCGACTACCGAAAGTAATCGACGACAGTAATTCGTCCTCGTCAAGTTACAACTTGACCAACTCTTTTCCCCAAGATAATAGTACCATCCACAGAGCCCACAAGTATCGCACTATCATCATACGCGATAACAATCGTTAGGTCGTTTATTGTCCTGTACATTTCACAATGCAGCAACAACAACCACATAATAACGATAAGCTCTTATTCTCATCCCTCGTGTTGATCTCTATTAGCTATCGACATCGGCAGAAGAGGCACCATATGGTAAACGATTGGCGACTGGCTCAGATAAGATGTATGCGATCAGGACCGTTACTATACGCCAGTCACTTACCGCATCCGCGGTCACAATTGGTTTGCTTATGAGCAAATAGAAGCTGAATCTCAGCTGGTAAACGGGAGTGAGTGTCCAGAGCCAGCGCCGCACATTTTGAAAATGAGAGCGACACAAATATTGGTGCCGCTCATTTTTAAAAGCAGATGGAGAGCACATTTTGTGATCTGAGATTAGACACGAAAGAGGTCGTCGGGGTAAAAATACACGAAAAACGACAATTTGCGTTTCGCACACCAGAGACATTTTCATTCACCATCTTTGAGGTTGATCTTTCGTGTCGCTTAGGCCGGCTGAGAGCCATAAGCTCACGATACGTAATTTCCAGCTGGTAATTCAACTAACGTGTCGGATAATTATCGATTTAGGGAAAACATCGCATAGATTTTTTTGTTTTCAAAATTTAGATACTAGACGAGACGGAGACTATATCTCACAAAGAGCCGGGCTAGTATCCTATAGAAACTATAGCATACTGAACAGAAGCTAAAATTGATACGTGGACCACCGGCCACCCCCCCAAAAAAATAAAAATCTCCCCCCCTTTAAAAAAAAAACTTGCAATTTTTGGTTTTATCCGTACGTCACTTTCCATTCTTTTCTCCTTTTTTTAAGGGTTTTTATCTAAAATTATCTGGTGGTGCTTGTAGTGATTTTGATTGTAAAGAAGAAGGAGAAGATTAAAAGGACGATGGCCAAGTCGAGACAAGAAACAATGCGCGTCTTTTGACCGTCTACGCACGGGTATAAACGCCATGCGTGTCATGACTCGTCACGTGTTATCCACTGTCTTAAAATTAGTGGTCCACTCCTCTCTACGTCCGATGCTCGTGGGTTTTCTCTTGCTAGCGCTGCTGACACTTGCTTTGATAAGCCTTGGCAGACTTCAGCTCTGGATGACTGGTGCTGGCCTCTTGATGGTTGCAATGAGCGTGATTAGCGCTGTCCAGGAGCTTCAATTTCCTAACAAAGTGTCGTCGTATCAGAATTTTCTCAATCAGGAAATGACAAAGTGTGGCAGGGATATGGTTACGCTGCCTCACCTTTCTCTTGGCACGGGAAACGATGTCGAACAGGTTACAAAGGATGACACGTCCTCGATGACGTTGAATATCGCGTCAGCATCGTCACCCAGTGCTATTCATTGTCCTTCGACATTTTCAGAGAAAATTAGCCGACGAGGAAGTGAGGATAGTATTGGAGCGCTGGAATCTGCTTGTAATACGACTATTGTAGAGACTTCTGCTCTGTGGAATAATGCCACTGAAGTAAGCAACAAGCTGGACGTGCTCCACTGCGGCACAGTGATTGATATTCAGGGATCGCTAGGATTTATCATTCCACATGACTTGCGTGTGGAGGCTAGTGCTTCAGGCAGCGCTACGCGTAGCAGCGCAATGACAGCATTTGACCGACACGAAAAGCAGCAGAAGATGCCGCTGGTGATCCCGTTTAACCTTAATGAAGAGCAGACAGCTGCGCGTCAGGCGATTGCAGTAGGCAAGACTGTCGAATTTGCGTACTCCCACGCAGCTTCTAGTAGCGATTCTCCAGCGACGATGTGTGCTCTAAACGTTACACCAGTGCCCACGGACAATAGTATTGCTAAGAGCCGCTCTGCATTACAGTCTTGTAAGCAGGCGCGCGAGGTATCATTTGCACGAGCCATGGAAGAGCTTACGATGATTTCGCCACGTAACGTGCCAGTGAAGCACCACGTCGATCTGATCAAGTACGCAGAAAAGCTCGACGACCACGACAGTCCTTTTGACTAGTGTATGAGGATGCTAATGGGAGAAATAAGGTGAATCTTGAATACTACCGACATCAAGCACAACTTTGTAAGCATTATTGCTACGTCAGCTTCGTTTTGGGGCAAGCCATGCATGGGAGCAAAGCTTCCTCCGGTCATGTTTCTTTACTTACCAGAACATCATAATTTTTAGCTCTGCAGACAACAATATGGACGCGTGTTGAAGGTGCATGCTTAGCGACGTGCACAAATCTAATCGTTGTCTATCAAGATACAAACATCACTTCAGTACATGTGTCATGGCTCGAAGCCAATATCCTTCCTGCTTTACTCATTTACACGATACCTACTCGAGTTTGTCTATGATATAAGCCTGGCAACTCGTGGTCTGCGCAGCATCTGCACTTACTGAAGATCACGAGTTGCTCCATCAGCCATGACCAAATGAAGCGCTTGGCTGGAGGCCGTCGTTAGCGGTGTATCGCCGTCCAAGTCTTCAACGTCCACTAGCGCACCATGTTTTACCTATGTCAAACAATACGATGTTAGTCATTTACCAAAACAGCGATAATATCGAGTAACAATCTGACCAGCAGCTGTGCCAACTCCTCATGGTCGCAACTGGCTGCGTAATGCAAAGGCGTCATACCGTCAGCATCCTGCTCACCAACACACAGCCATAGTGTTCATCAGATATAGCTAGAGCAAAGGCACTAACTAAGTACCATGTTGCATACCTGAATATTTGGCGACGCATTACGGCGCAGCAGTTCCTTCACTATTAATTGCTGGTCACGATCAACAGCCCAGTGCATCATAGTTCGTCCTTCGAGGTCCTACACAAGTAATGATATTTTCGCATATAAGTTCAATGCAAAAAACGATCATTCAAGAAGTCAATCACATCTGTCCAGGCTACGTCAATGGTAACCGTACCTGGGCATTGATGTCTTCTCCTTTGTTCAAAGCTGATACAAGTTTGTCCGCATCTCCGGTGCTTGCATAGTGAAAAATATCGTCTTTCACCTTCCACTCCTCTGTTGACCTATACAGTATTGTGCCACACAAAAATGTCATTCATCTTCCTCAACTCAAAAGCTCATGCCAACCAAAATAGCATCATTACGGACATGTCCACTTTCGGCAGACTAACAGCTCCAGCCATTGACATATAGTTATCCGAAGACACTGACTCATTGGTGGCCGTTGACAACGAAACCGACGACAAGTGCCGTTTCTTGGGACTATGTACATCAAACTCCTCGAATAGGTCTTGCACCCACTCAAAATACTGCTGCTTGGCCACTTCCTGGCTCATATCACCCAGTGCTTTCCAACTCTCCCTAGAACCAAGTCAGTTTCATCTAGTTTCATCCACACACATCTCCTCACGCTGCAAACCACGCACCATTTAGCTGATCCCACTATATCCACCCCAGACGGTCTCTCCACACTGCATTTACCATTGTGTGCTTGTTTATATAATGCATAGAGCGTCAATTTCTAAAAAAAAGATAATAGAGAGCTTTAATAGAAACCACACCACCATATATACATTCATGCATCTTGTGCTAATCACTCACCTGCTCATTCGTCATCTTATTATTACCCCGAGATGCAATAAAGTCCACTGCTATTTGAAATTTAGCGTCCACTTTACTCATTCCATGCTACAATAATCAGAATCAATTAGTCATACAAAAACTCAGTCATTCATACAAAATGTCAGTCATATCAAGTCACAGACACGTACTTTGGTCATGTATTCTTCGCACGAGCAACTGCCTGCCGAGCTTTCGCGGTCTATTTTCTTAAAAAAGAAGATACGATGCAATAGCAGCGGAATTACTACGGCGCCCGTCACTGCACAGGCCACACCCACCCACGTCACTTCAGTCAATTCCTCCGTCATTTATTTTTTGCTTACAAGGCTGAAAAATAACGCAGTAGTTGCTATCACTCGCTATGATTGGCTAAAATAAAAAACGACATAATGAAACGGTACTTCAACTTGACCGTTAAGTTGTTTCGCCACGTCTCATATTGTAGTAGTGGCTGTTATTTGCCTAGTGTCACTTTTTGCAGTCGTGCGCATTTCTCAATTTGGCTACAAAGTCTCACCATTGCACTAGAATATGGAGTCAAAGAACATTGATATCCTCGCTGCCGGCAATATGCACGAACTTTTTCGTCGTGGATTGCCCAATGACCGCAATATGTTGTCAGCAAGTGCATTGGTATCACCAGCACATTATCAAATGGTTATAAAAGCTCATGAAGATTTTCTTAAAGCTGGTGCGACAATGATCGTGACTAATAACTATTACGTGACACCTGGGGTGGGGTTTAATCCTGATGAAATTCGTGAATACTCGCAGACGGCAGGTCAATTGGCAGCTGATGCTCGAGGAAGATCGAACCGAAAGGAAGATATTAAGATTTTTGGATCGTTGCCGCCACTCATGCACAGTCTTCGATCGGACCGTACAATTGAACGTCAAAAAGGATTGGACACGTACTTGTTGATTGGAGAGGCTTTGCTACCATCAGTTGATGTGTTTCTTGCCGAGACAATGTCGTCGCTTGCTGAAGCCAAGATGGCGTTTGAAGGTGTCCAGCCGCTGCAGAAGCCCGTGATGGTGTCTTATGCGCTAAATAGTACGGGTCAATTGCGCAGCGGTGAAGAAGTACTTGACAGTGTGCGGAGTCTAATTGAGTTCTGTACGACTCGTATTGAGCTACTGCCAGGTGAACCTGAAGGAAAGAACAACCTTTTGTGCGGCATCTTGTTCAACTGCTCACAACCAGAAGATATTGCTAAGGCGATCAAGCAGCTAAAGGAGGATGAAGATGTAACGAACTTGCTGAAGAAGCACGAAATTCGCATTGGTGGCTACGGTGACCACATCTCGCCAATGTCCAAGGCTGGTGTCATGGAAGAGTCACTTGTGTCGGGTGCGTTGCAATCTGTCATGGATATGGAAGTCTACAGCAAGTTTGCGATGCGCTGGATTGAAGATGGCGCTAGTATTGTCGGTGGCTGCTGCAATATAGCACCCGAATACATTCAGCATATTGCAGAGGACATTTCAAAGTAAGGAGGCTCGTACAACTCAGTTGGTCATGCGCTTTTTAACCTCAATTCCATTCTTACTTTAGCTTTCTTAAGCGTGAATAGCTGTCAGCTTGATGGCTATCAAAATAGCATGTACATCGTCCCATATCTTGATGATATTCCAGTTGAACATTTTACGTGTGATGCTGATGAATGGAGGCATTGGCGAAAGAATTTTACTTGTGAGTTACCAAATGGTTGCTGTGGGATTAAGCCCAAGTGCATTGCTTCCATTGTACTAGATGCTATAGGAGCAAGGCTTGCATTGAGAAAAGAATTGCTCAGACAATCCAGACTTATCTTTATCAAGCGCTAATTGCAACTCAATGGTATGTATGCTGATCTTCCTTATCTCGTATCCTTTTGCGTAATCCATTCACCAGCGCTTTATATGCAACACCATCTCTCTTAAATAGTATAATGGTGCTTTAGCTCCTTTGCAGCCACCACGATATAATTAATTGCCACCTAAGGTGACGGTCTTGAGGTAAGCCGCAATATCGTCGAAACGGAATCGGCAGGCCATTTGCAATGGAGTCTCGTCATCGTAAAGTGCCGCACGTTCCTCCGTGTCAGCTCCAGCACGCACCAACACTTCCACGAGATCTAAACGATGCTTCTCCACAGCCTTCTGCAAAGGAGTCATCATCGTGCGAGGACACACTGCGTTCACTTGATCTCCGGTCGCATTTTCGAGCGCTTTATTCAGTAATTTCACACATTCATCTTGTGCAATACCGTCGCTTCTCTCAATCAACTGGTGCAGGTTTGCTTCATTCATTCTGTTACCATTCTCGCTCTGCTCTTCGTCAACTTCCAAAAGCACCAACGTGCGTGCAAAAATGTTTCTGTATCTCTCCAGCAACAACTGCTCCTCAAACGTATACGATTTCTCCGGTGCTACGTCTAAATCTTCCACTTGCATCGATTGCATCGCCAGTGTATAGGTGATATCATGACCAACAAAATGTGCAAACTTTCCACCATCAGGATGAAACAACTTTGAGTTTGTAACATCATAACGACGTCCTTGGAAAGATATCGTCCTCATATTCTTTAGATCCTCCGGTTTGAGAGACACGGTGGACTTGCTCACCGTCTTTGCTCCGAATCCCAACGGGCATTTGCCACCGGAGCCAGAATCCGACGGTAATAGCTCTGCCCTCAACGCTTCCCACTGCGCACCGACGTAGCGGTCGCTAAGCTGCGCCACCACCTCGTAGCGTGAGTGAAAGCGCACAAACCACTCTTTAATTAGCTCACGACGGCGTCTCGTCTCCTCGTCATCACCTGTTAGCGTGTCCAACTGACACTCACGATCCAAGTAGCTGGCTCTGGCCTTGGCGTCGTCCTTGGTGTCCGGCACGAGTCCCAACTGCAGCAGCAAATACGTGACATCATGATTTACCCACGAGCTGTAGATTCCAGCACATGTAGCTTCAAAGAAAGGGTCTCCAGTCACATCAAATGCCGTGCCACACAGGGCCACCCAATGACCAGACGCCTGTAGTTTCTGCAGACTTTGACGTGGTGCAGTTGCCAGACGCCGAGCTGCCAAACTCTTTCGTCGGTCATTACTTTGACAATTTACTAACTTGCTGCAGTAATAACCACAGATTCCAACGGCGGTACTTAACACTAGCGACAGCACCAAACGCTCAAAGAAGCTGCTCGTCATGATAATTGATACTAATTGACCAAATTTCGATTTTATTATTACCCGAGTATGTACCTTTTCGATCATTTAAGAATAAAATGTGAATTTTGTGTATTTTTAATGGCAAAATTTCAACGAATTAGGACGAAACGACGCGACAATTAACAATTTCCTTATACCGATTTACCTGGTTATTTCTACTTAATAAGTAAAAGAAGCGAATTAAAACTTACGAGCTCCGTATTAAAGTGCTCCTGACCATGTTGTCACGTGGCCATCACGTATCATGGCGGCTATTCCAATTGTCTCGACGATCTCTCAGCATTTACAATCGCAATCGTATTTCCTCTATCTCTTTCTCTCTCAGACACGATCGAGCGTCCAGTAATATCCTCCATGTCTCTAAATCTCGGACCCAACATGACTCTCGAGTCTCTAATCGCTTGTTACAGCTTTACAGCTTTTCTCACGTTTCTTCCAGTCTTTCTCCAGTGCCTCAAGAAGAATATGAAGAGCTCAAGAACTTTCTGGCTAAGCCTGCAACGTCAGGTGCTAAAATGGAGCGAGTTAAAGAGATCGTGACGCATTGGATGCAACAATACGTACATCCAGCCATGCCTGGTCAAGAGGCTACTGTTATGGTCATGGTTGCTGACTCTATGCACGATCCAGAGTTTGTAATGAACGTGTACACGTGTTTACGAGATGCAGACGTGTCGCCGTCTCCCCTTACGCTCGAGTATTCAGCAGCAGCTTGTGCTGAGCTCGGTCAATGGCGCACAGCGCTTGAGATCATTGATTTCATGCACGAGGCAGTGGAGATCATGCAACCATCATTAACTATATATGAAAATGCAATTGCATCGTGTCATGTGGCGAAGAAATGGATGAGAGCAAAACATTTGCTTGAAGAGATGCGAACGTATGGATTGGAAGCGTCTCCTGAGCTGCATGTGGCGTCGATACGACTTTGTATCGACAATAAGGAAGCTACAGCTACAAAAGTACTTTTGGAGGCCTTTTTGCGTGCATATGACGAAGAACTGGATACAGAAGTAAAACATGAGATTGTAACGGTTCTTTTTCACGCATCAATAGACGCACAATCGCTATCACAAGCACTTTACTTTCGTGATGAGCTATTGACTCGACATTTTCCTGTCTCGAAGGAGCTATACTCGCGACTTATTCATTTGTGCGCTATAAAGCGTCAATGGCACAAAGCGCGCACATTATTGCAGCAGTTTGTCGATGTTAACGCTCCTCCGCCGACAGCAGCTCCATCCAACCGATATACAGACGATATACGGTGTTTGCTGGGAGACATGGAGACGTACGACATTGAAATCCCGCTGGCAGTGTACAATGCTGCGCTGAGAAATTTTGGTCAATTGTCATTGGGTAATGATGCCATGGCTGTTTACTTGGAAATGCGCGACCGTCACGTTGCACTTGATGCTACATCATATGCAGCGCTGATATGCTCGTGTGGTATCCAAGTCGAACAATCGGAAATTTTCTTTTGTGAGTTGCAGCGCGACAAGTGCGATCCTACGCTTGACGTGGCGCATGCATATTTGCTTGTGCCCAGTCGTGCAAAGCAGTGGGAAGAAGTGCTACGAAGGTATGCTGTTGTGCATGATGAGGAGCCACTTTTTAAAGATCTTCCGTTCGAGTCAGACGTACGAATTCAGTCGCTTGTTGCCATTGCTTACGGACGACTCCATCGGTCTGAAGAAATGCTTCGCGTATTTACAAAAATGAAGGTGAATGGGATGAATCCTAATTTGCATGTGTATGGTGAAGCAATATTTGCGTATATCCGTCAAGATCAATGGCGGTTTGCGCTCATGTTGTTCGACCACCTTTTTCAACAGCAGACGTCGGAGATGCAGGAGAAGCGGATACTTGAAAACTTTCCCATGTTGTGGGATGCCGCAGTGTTGGCTTGCGTGCAAGGTGAGCAAACTGAGCGTGCGGCAATGCTATACGACATCATCGTTGATCAGGGTGTCTCGATTTCAATGGTGACAGGGGAGCGTCTGGCTGCGTTTCTAACCAGTGTTCCTTCTGAAACACTATGGCGGTCGTTTAAATCGATGCCATCGCTACACCGAACACAGACAAGGAGTCGTTTGAACCCACGCGTACAAAATGCTATGCTCAAACGTGCTGTGGAGGAGAACGACATCAAATTAGCTGAGCAAATTGTGACTGATGGGATCCACACGATGAAAATGCTGCCTAACTCCATGACGTTTGCGCTAATGCTGCGATTGTACGCAAACCGTGGGAACCAGGAGAGCTTTCACTCGTGGTGGTGTAAAATGGACGAAAGCAAGGTAAAACCAACCTTGTTTGTGTTCCGCGCGCTAATGCAGCAGTTATGCAATCTAAGTCTCGATTGCGAGGACTTGGCGTACTTGAACGCAATTGGAGACTTTTTCCGAACAAGACAACCTCGTTACTCGATTTCAGCTGTCGTGAATGATGAAAACACAACGGAATATGCTGCAGAGCTTGGACGTATTGCGTTGAACATAATGGAAGGTTGTGGTATGGGTCCGGACACAATATGTTTACAAAATTATCTGTTGCTTAGTCAAGAACCGGATCATGTCGCCCATGTTCTTGTGCTTGTGGAAAACACGATGGCGGCAATCAACGAGCATGATGAAAACACCGCCAAGGAATGCGTTCATCTTACACCGCGGTTGTTGCACACGCTGTTTACGGCCTTGAGTACTTTTCCAGATGGACAGCGTGTTCGCAAGCTTTTGATACAGATTGTAAAGGACCTGCCAAGCGATCTTTCTGAAGATGCTATTGCTGCTTTCTGCGCAGCAAACGATGGCTATCACGCGTTACAGCTTTTATGTGAGCTGTTGGATGCAAAGATCTGCCTCAACGACGATCATGTCTTGTTTTTTCTCACAAACAGCTACACGTGTGAGTCGTCTACTCAAAAGAGTCAACATTCCCGTCCAAGAAGTGCATATGGAGTGATAGTGGATATGGCCTCACGATTGTGTGAGAGTGAGACCGTAACGATGGAGGCTGGGTGTCTGGCCTTCTTAATTCAGCACGTTGTGGATCTTTCGAAGTGGCAGCAGCAAGACGTTTTCGAGACAGCGACCCAGGACGAGATCCATGCCATGAAGAAGTTGTTGGTTCGTGCATTCGCGCACTTTCCTATCTCTCAGGTCACGAAGTTCCTTTCGAAGGTGATTGCTGAAGATGACCTTGTTCATGTCGTAAGCGTCCTTGACGAGCTGCAAGGAACACAAGAAAACCAATAGATTGACAGTGCCAAAGCGATGGTTGCCAGTGTTTACACGAGATGTAAAAAGTATTATAATTGCGGCAAGTATGAGTGTTTATCGGGTATGCTGCCTTGGTACATCGTCAATGGGAGTACGCCACCAGTGCGAGTATCGACCGTATCTGCTGCCGAAATCTTCGAAAAACAAGTAATGTTGGCAAACAGACATAAGGCAGACACCAAAATAGTAAGTCTGTTCAGTACATTAGGTAAAAAGACCTCGACTGGGATCGGCCCTGTTTGTCGATGATTGAATGATGGTATCAATAGTTCGTGAGGTAGATTGGCTGCAACGCTTTCCAATTCAACTGAAAGACCCGTTGCCAATGCTGCCTCGGTCATCCAGATATCCCGCCTCAGGAGCACCATTTTCGTTCGTCTGAGATCCATTCAACCCGATTGCAGGTGTCTCTGGCGTCGCCGATACAGTCATGACAGCTATTAAGTCAACGGATGGAGATGTAATTTCCATGCAAAGTGAAGCTTCTATGTTCTTCAAAATGGCCGAAAGAAACTCGTGTTCTTGCTCATACGTCAAGCCATCCTCATTGCCAGCATCTAGACGTGAAATTAACTCCTCATTCGTTGGCTGCCTTTGAACACGCGGGAGACGGAGAGTCGTAAGCTGTGCAGTAAATTGCTCCCCCAACTTTTGCTCGTTCAAAAGGCTCTGCGAGACCGTCACAATCTCGTTCTTGCGCTGCACAGCTTGTTCAGCTTCCAGCGGCTCGGGTACCTCACTGATGTCAATGAAAGCTTGCGCTGCGCTCTCCACGATACCGCTCAAACGATCGTTCTCACTTAATGCACCCTTGCCAGACCACATTCCACTCGTTCGACCGTTGCTACCCATTCCGCCCATATCTAGCTCATTATGCAAATCCAAATGCTTTTCCAACTCCAAAAAGTGCTGCAAAGATGCATCGTCCAGAATACCTGGTACCAGCAGCAGTCCATCTGCAAATAATGAAAACATCGCCGGTGAGAACCAGTTCCTTAAACAGACCATAAAGTCTTTACGCACCAAGATACTCTTGCAGACTCGTCTGACGCTTCATCAAAAAGTTGGGATCAAATCTGCGTGCCACACATAGTTTAGAGACACACAAGGTCAGCAATCTCACATCAAGCAACAATCTTCTCTCAGCAATATGAACATAATGACAGCATTGTGGAATTCTCAGAGCCATGGACGCGTTAAGGTCGTAGAAAATAATCAGCGGCAGTACGATGGAACAGAGCGAAGAGAGTCTTGATAAGAATCACCTTCATGGATCTTCTCCCAGCCTCAGTCACTTTGGAGCTGCAACATGGTCACACACTGCCGACGCCTTCTATAACTCATGTCTTTCTCTCTTATTGAATCAGATAAGATCAAGTGATTTTACAGTCATCGACTGTCAAACAGCCTCCTCTCTTCCTTTTCAGCATTAAAAAAAGAGAGCGAAGACCCATTGAGTTACACGTCAACAGGAGACTCATAGAGCTCAATACAAAGTGACCATAGAGGCACCAAAGGCCCGTCCAGTTGTCCAGTCTTCTCTCTTCACGTGTGCGTTCACGTGACATGCCACAGTCGCCTTAACAGACTCACAAGAGCCCCTTCTCATCACAGAATTCCACGCCACTCGTCCAGACAAGCCACGTACCGACCAAACCATTGTTTTTCAGGCAAAGAAGCTTCAATAAGGTCTCCAAAGCGTCGAATTAGACGTGAATGAAGCTGATCAAAGTCACTGAAGCGCCGTGAGATACGCCACAAGCCGCCATTACACGAAATCTGCACGGAATAGAAATAGTCTAGTACCAAAAAAAGAAAGAAAAGACCACAAGATACACACATACCTCTACAATAAACTCGGTGTGGTCCCCTATCGTGTCGTAGCCCGTGATGAGCGCACTCACGTTCAGCATCGCCATTGTTTTGCACCTAATAGATAAATGGGATACATTATGTACGATACACCACAAGAAAAAAGGGGGGGGGGGGGTGAAAATAAAACTGCATGTACCGGTATTTGAACTTTTTTGTCCACGCAACTTCAAGAGTGCGACTATTTTTTGTATCTAAAATCAGGTGAAGAGGTCTTTTGCTGCAAGTGAATGGCGTATTACGGACGATCGGGTATTGAGCGTATGACGTTGGTTGTGGATGTGGATCATACGCTTACCAAGTTATTGGAGTGTGCATCGGCATGGCATGAATTGGAATACGGAGTGAAGGTGAGGTGGACGGAGATAAATTTAGTGTCTTTGATGGCTGAAGAGACTGATTGATTGACTGGGTTACTGTATTTATGGTTACAGATTAATGTTAAAGAGGTAATATCTTCTAGTTGGACGAGTGTATGGGGAAATGAAGACGTGGAGAAGAAGAGAAACGCGTTCTACGAGTCTAAACAGTTTAAGACGGAGCTAGCGGCGGTGGACGGAGCTAATGAGGTGCTCAAGACACTACGCAAATTTTTCTCGCTGCTGGCAATTACAGATCGTCCACGATTTGTGGAGAAACAGACACGAGAGTGGCTGGATCACCACTTTGCTGGTGTCTTTGACAAACTCATATTTGTAGACGAGGATAATTCAGATCAACTGGTGGCACGAAAGAAAGAACTATTTGACGAGCTCAAGGTGAAGATTGCTGTTGGATCTGATGCTGCGATGTTGATGGAAGCGGCGAAGGACGTTAAACATGTGGTGGTTGTTGGATCCTTACCGTGGATGAAGGCTGCTGTGGAATTGCAAAGCGGTGTGGTTCAGGTTGATAACTGGTCAGTAGCCAAAGAGGTGTTTGATCGATTAATCGAGGAACTTGACCTCGAACCTCTAGACAAGGTGGCTGTTGGGCCTCGTCTCGCTCGATACACTGACGACTTGGTGACAGTGTCGACGCGGAAACCGGCAGGTAAGCTTAGAACGCCTACTTACAACCTGCTGCTCCCTGAACATATGTGCGACATCTGTGCTAACTGATAAATCTGGTACTTGCAGTATTCTACGCCAACATCATTAATTCGAAGTTCACGGTGCAGAAGCAGGAGACGATTCGACTGCAGGCGTCCGAGGCGGCCATCACGACGGCTGTGCAGGTGGCGGAAATTCTGCGCATGCAAAACAACTCTACTACGACCAAAATTACGACGCGATACTCGTTGAATCGGCCGAAAGAGCGTGGTGGTTACCGCGTACCCAAGATGGAGTTGGTGTTACAGCGCGTTGCGCACGAAGGCTAACAGGAACTGAACGGGCTTATCGTACACAACACGAGCAAGCAAATTAAGGAGTAATGGAGCAGTGTGCAGGCTATGGTAGCTAGGTAGGTGTCCAAGGGGTGAATCATAGCACGATCGAGCGAATGGAAGATGAGTCAACAGGTTCAAAAGTGCAAAACAAAACAGGAAGAGTTACGAGTTTGAGTCTACAGTGGGTACACTCAGTGGCGCCGAGCTTTGGCTTCTAGGTATTCTCGGCGCTCTTCGTCACGCAACTGACGGCGTTCTGCTTCGTTCACGGTAACAATGTCGTCTACAGCGCATACAACACCACGTTAAGTCTTCCACTCTTGACTTGTACATATTTCAAACCAATCGAACGAACGCACAGAAACCCGTTGTGACCATAAAAACCTCCATCGCCGCACCAGTTACAAAGCAAAGCGGCACGAGCTTCTTTAGGATCGGCGTCAGCGCCACCGTCGGTGTGGCCATCTCTTTTGTATTAAAATAGGACAATGCCGTATCAAAAAGACCTTATTTCTTTAGAATAGGTGATTTCCAGCCAATAGCCATATTTATCAGATATTTCTAAATATTGACCCAAATTGTAGCCTTTTTTACACGAAATGACGACGATGGTATCCACGACTTGTGCTGGTTTTCGCTGTCTCGACCGTGACGAGTGTTATCACTACGACGAGAAACTCAATACGACTACATTCATCCACGATGGTACCTCTTGTCATAACACACGGATAGAAGTGCAACATCGTTTTCGGTACCACAACGTGGACGGTGATATGCAGATGCTCAATTCAGACGAAGTTCAGAAGCTCATGAAATGCACATATACCAGCAAATTGCTGTTTCAAAGGACGCATTTGTTGCGTAACTACCCTTTCTGGGGCTTTTCAGACTGGATAGAGGATGGATTAGAGTACTTTGCAACCCTTTCATTAAGCAACAACTCTCAAGTATCACCAAAAGTAGCTATTGGACACGTTTCAATGCTGAGTCAAGTTGAAAAGGAACCACTCGGATTATTCGCAGCTGAAGACCTCAAGTGCTATGAGTACCTTGGAGAATATGCTGGAGTGATCAAGGTGGATGCTAGTGAAATGAACAAGTTTGACCCGTATGGCATCTCGTATCCATCTGTGTACGAAGGCGGTACTCTATACGTGAGTGCAAGCGAGTACGGCAACGTCATTCGTTGCATTAATCACAGTGCAACCCCAAACGCGCGGTTCGTGCCAATAGTTTACAAGGGCATTCTTTGTATCTTCTGCGTACGTGGTTGCTCTGAGTGGTTGGACATTACATAGTTTGTGGTGACGGCATCTTCTGTACAATGATGCAGTTTATGATCCAGGATATTAAGCAAGGGGACCAAATTTTCGTCAACTATGGACCTTCGTACTGGAAGTCGACGGGTATCGAGCCCATTGCTTTTCACGAACCAGCGGAAGTCTAAGTACAATAGCTGTCTATTTCCCTTTACATAAGTCTAAAGAAGGAAACAGGGGGCATTAGCTGTACATGCTACGGATGACGAGCCAGTCACATGACATGGGGGGGGGTGAAGAAAAGGCAACATGCTTACACAAGTGCAGTTTACTCTTCGATCTCGACAATGGCTTCGATCTCGACCGCGACGTTTAGCGGAAGGGCATTGGTGCCCACAGCTGAGCGAGCATGAATGCCCTTGTCTCCAAACACCTTTCCAATGGTGTCGGAAGCGCCGTTGATGACGGCCGGTTGCTGCGAGAAGCCATCCACGCAATTGACAAAGCCCACGAGCTTTACCACTCGCTTGATCTTGTCCAGGTCACCCAACTCCTCTACATAACCACAATACAATGAATAGAGCACTGTCAGAGCCATCACATTTACGACTTCATAATATGGAACGCACGCTTGAGAGTGGCCATAAGGCTGAGCGCCACGTAATGGGCAGCATCATAGCCCTGCTCCGGTGTCAGGTCCTTGCCAATCTTGCCCAGGATGAGGTCCCCGCCTGCAGGCTGAGGCAGGTGACCAGCCAAATAGATGGTGTTACCCGAACGCACCGACGTACGATAGTTACCCTTTGGCTCAGCTACGGCCGGTAGCGTGTAGCCCAGCTCTTTCAGCTTGCGTTCCACGTGCACGTTACGCACCGCCGTCGCCATAGTTTGCGGCTTGATCATGCGAATAAGAGACATCATTATGAAGAGCTGAATGGCGTAAAAAGCGCTGAGGGCAAGCGTGTTAAACTAGAATTGGATTGCTATTGATACATGGATCGCAGTCAGAGGATCGGCGACGCATCCAACCGTTGCGATTACGTGACCGTACTTAAGTGCATCCGTTTCATATTTGTACCGAAATTCTAAGCCACACCCACGCAAATTTGATCCGCATCCATCATTGCTCATTTGATCCCTTGTTAGTTATATGGGGCGGCATTGCACGAAGTAATTTGAACTGATCTAAGTTTACGATGCGTATATAGTCTATTTGTAGAATAAGACATGATTGTCGTATACTCAATTAGAAGTAACTCCTGCAGCTTCGAGTGTGCTCCTCAACTACTGTCAATAAGGTTGGATAAAATACTACCCGATTCTTGTTTTCAATTACCCAGTGTCCTCCTACCATAAAAAGAAAGGAGCTACAGCAATACGGCATGAAGGGTGAAAGATGAAAGTGATGTAACATGAAGATTTGTATTTCATTGTTGCTGACGGATGGGTGAGTTGTGCATTGAAACAACTCACCCACCCGTCAGCAACAAGGCTCTTTGAGCTCTGGCGTGCCAGACCTCAAGGAGCCTTTGCTGTAACTGAGATGATGAATATGTTGAAGGTAAGGTACACTATCGCTGAGCGCTTGTTGGACAGACACAAAATTACGGACATGATGACGAACAGTAATTACGGGCGCGTTGACAGTCAGTGGTTATGGTAAAAAAAGTGAGTATAGTATAGTGAGTCTAGTATGAGAAAGGAGTGGCTTAGAGGTAGCTCTTATTAGAGAACTAAGGAAAGATGTATGTTAGTATTCAATTAACCACCTACTACGCATCTGCTCGAACAGGTTGTGAGCCCAACACTGGCCCCGCCGGTGGTCTAAGCGCGCCAACGCCAGTCAACTTCGACGTCTACCACGAAAGAGCCGCAGCGTCTCCAGCGCATTAAGGCGCATTGACGACCCATGAAAGTGAAGACGACGTCAATGGGCGGATACTCGCGACGCTCGTCGACCTCATAGCGCGTATGGCGCAGAATGGAGGTCTCGCAGCAGAAGCTTAATGAAGAGGAGAAGATGATGGGTGCGATCGAGTCAGGAATGTTACGCTCTGCGCTTGCCAGCTGTCGCGGTGGCGTACCGTTGCATATCAATGCACTCGGACATTCCCCGGTGCGCCCAAGAACTGGATAAGGTCGAGTGAGCATGCTACAGCATATAGCAGGCCATAATATGGTGCAGCCAGAATGGCGGGCACTGCAACCAGCGCCACCGGTGCGCGCATCTTATTCTAGCTCTGAGTACGCGGCGGTCTCAAGATTACGCGAGAAGGATGGAGCCGGGTCCCCAGCGAGCTATGCGAGTTCCGGATGAACGCCAACGACGGCTAACAATTCAAAAGTTTAATGTCTCCTAGCTGTATCGAGGCTTGAAGTCTTATTCTCGGACTGAGGAAGAACGTTCATGCGTCAATCGCAGTACGCTCAAGCGGCATGTGGCTTCGACTTGTCCGATGACGTAAAGACCGACTTGCTTGGCCACTACTGGAGCGGTAAGGTCGAGCGATACTACAACAAGCAGGTCGAGTCGTGGTGGCACCAGACTCCGACGCATACACATCTCATGGAGCGTCTGCATCAGACGTTTAAGACGACAATTACAGCATTCAGTCGATGAAGCTGTATACAGCTAAAAAGGTACCAAAGAGGAGCTGGCCCGAGCATTACCTCTACTTGGTGGCGATGAGTGATGTATGAGGCGGCGCTGACGCGCAGGTGCTTGACAACGTTGTCCATTACGCATCGAGTGAGCTTCACATTATGCTAATGGCCAAGTACGATGGAAAACACGTCGACTACCTCGCTCAAGCTGAAGAGCTTGCATACTTCGCGAAGTCTGTTAAGCTGGAACGCGAAGTGCTACCTCGTATGGTAAGGACGTCGTAACACATGTTGCTGAAAGCAAGTCACGCGTTGATACGCGCATGTGGCAACCTTGCACACATTCAATTCGTTTGTCCTGAAGACAGAAATAAACGAGAAAAAAATGACATTAAGGGCACGTGGCAAAGAAATAGCAGTCCCTAGGACGTTGTTAGCTAAACACTGTCCGTGCAAGACAGCAAGACAAGTTTTGGATACTGGACAGCGGGTCCAACAGGCACCTCGTGAGCGAAATGGCGCTTCTGGAGGATGCACATGAGTGTGACGACCATTCGTGGTCGCCGATGGAAAGACACTTCGACTATAATTGATTGGAAGTGTGGTGCATCTACGTGACGTCTCCGACGGGATACAGACCCGTTACCGTCTTACACTAAAAGGGCGTTGAGGAAGCGCTCTTGATTAAATCGTAAATACAACTCTGTTTTATTTTTGTTTGGTTTTAATTCGCAGTAAGTGCGAATATGTTCCCTAGTTCATGGGAACCACTCAAATATGGAATTCAATTAATTACTGGCTAATTATTGGGTC